AACTAGTAAATAAGATGGAGCAGTGGCATTATACTCATTAGCTGGGACCTGGGTGATGAAATATTCATAGTGAATAATTACTAAATTTTTTGTGGCTGCTAAAATGTTTAGAGATGTTTAAAATAAAGATATTGCATCACAGATATTGTTTGCTTCCTATTTTTTACCAATCTCTCTTCACTAGTCATATATGTTTTCTGTGCAGTTAGTGTTTAACTACATTGGGTTAAAAGGACTTTCTGATTAGCAGTTTTGGGTAATGAAGGAAAAAGTTTGGGAAACGGTGCTGTAGACTCTATAGATATTATTTATGTGTTATAATTCTTCAAATAATTTATCATTAGACATCATAAAGACAATCATATTAATAGATGCTTGTTTTATTTTCAGAATAATCCTGTAATAATGATTGGCCCAGGCACTGGTGTTGCTCCATTTCGCAGCTATATTCATGAGAGAGTAGCACTGAGCCAGGCTTCAAACAAACTACTATATCTGTTTTTTGGATGTCGGAACAAAAATGGTGACTTTCACTTTAGCAATGAATGGCTAAGCTTACAGGAGGAAAAACATCTATCATTATTTTGTGCTTTTTCTAGGGACCAAGAATATAAAATGTGAGTAAAAAGATCACTTAGGAGACCCTGGAACAGATGGGAAGGTATTAAAATGAATCTTTGGAGAAATAGATTATAAAAATGTGACCAGAATTGAACCATCTCTTGGACATTTCATGTGTAATGCTTGTAATCTGTTTACATCTTTCTTAGTAAAAATTTTAGTTTCTAATTTGTAATTTTTTACTGCCAGTAATATAAATAGGCAGGTATGCGAATGTTTGAGGGGGAAGTGATACTACCACCACTTAACAAAGGCCCTGAAAAATTGTTGTAATCTTCAGAAGATATGGAGCTTTTCTTGGATAATTACAGAATGTTGAGCATTATGGCGACCACACAAGGTATACAGGTGTATGATTTGAAATGCAACCGAGCAACAATCATATAATACAGTACAAAAATAAAATCAGAAGTAGGTCCTCCTCCAGCATCCCCTGTGACACTAGGCCATTGCTCATGCCATTTGCAAAAAACTGTGCAGGTGAGAACATGGTATATTCATGGGCAGAACATGTGTTGATTCTCAAATAACCCACGCAGCTTGGAGGAACTTAAACACAATGTTGAATAGACTGTTGCCAACATTGACTCAGAAACACATAGTTGCAGGAAACATGCTAAAAGGGTGAATGCTTGTCTTGTGTAAAGTGTTTGACATTTCGGCATTTGCTGTAAAGCTACTCTGAAAGTTGTTCTTAAAAATTAAAATGAAATAAAAAGCACCAGTTTGTCCTGTTATATTTATGTCACCAACGCTTCCAAATACTGCCGTAGTTAGGGCTGTGTTTCAAGTGGAACACTCTGTAAATTTAGCTTTACATTTGACAGTGTACCTAATGAACTGTAGGAGCTGGGTTTGTGAAATGACTATGGTGTGACACTTTGAGGTTTTAGCTGACAAATGTAACATAGTCTGATTCCTTGCCAGTGTAAATAATGTTCAGAAGTGCATTATTAAATTCTGTAATTACTGCTTTGCAGAAGTTTTTCCAGAACTAGTTGTTAACATTCTTTTGTGGTCTTTCTAGTTATGTGCAGCACCTGATAAAGGAGCAGGCTGCTCTCTTGTGGGATTTACTGTCATCTAAAGCATGGATATTCCTTGCTGGAAGCTCAAGCAATATGCCAGCGGGAGTGAAGGAGGCTTTTGTGAAGGATGTGGCCTGTGGTGCTGGGAAACTGTCACATGATGAAGCTAAACAGTTCATGCAAAACTTAGAAAATACTGGCTATTTCCAATGTGAGACATGGGCTTGATGTGCCTGACATACTTTCTGTGAGGGTATTGCTGTATTGAAAGATGAAATAAAGGCTACAGTTGTCTTTTCTTTGTATACTCCAATTTGTAATGAACAGAATATGTTCCAAATGCATTATATTATTTTGCATCCCTATTGACCATGTCTATTGCAGATTCAATTCTCTTGAGAGCTAACAAAAAATTACAGACATTTTAAATTATGGCATTTATTGAATCTGTTGGTTACAGTTTGTTGTTGGACATGACTTCCTGGTCTTTTGTCTGCTTCTGTGTATGTTTACATTTATTTTAACATTCTTCATTTTAATTTAAAACTATACCAATGTCTCTAATCTTTCCCATCCCATAGTTTATGATTTTTTCCTCATATTTCCTCACTGACCTGTACAATTTCTCTTTCTGTTTGCTTAAATATAACCCAGTTTTCTGCAGTTTTTATTATCTGTATTTGTATCTATCCTTCTAATTCCAATTTATGGCTCATTGCCTGTAAATCTTCTGTCTACAAACTCATCTCTCCAACTTGTAGTTTCCTCACATGTCTATGTGACTCCAGCCTTTCTTTATTACACATAGGATATATTTGGCCTGACACCCTTAAGTCTCTAAATACCCATTTTCTACCATCCCATACCTTCTTTACCCTCTTTGATACATATTTGTGTGTATATTTTTTCCCCCCAACTAGTTCTCAATTCAGTGTTTTTTCACTCTTATTCTTTCTTTCAGTATCCACACACCTTTTGCTTACTTCTCTCAATACAGTATACAGAGGAAGGAAATTAAATTCATTATTCATATTGAGAAAGAAATATTAATTTCTTAAATGTACTTATGCAAATTTTTTTGATTGAATACTTGTAAAATAAGGAGTTTGTGTAGTTACTGATGGAATTTATCTTTTTTATTCAGCTTGTATTATGTGCAGCAACTGGCATGGAAAGCTCCTATGGACATTGTCATATAAGGTATAATGGTCTAACAAGGCTGGCCACTTTGATGGTATTAAATGTATATAACAAACAATGCATTGCACTATTTGAAAATATAAATTGTAAAAAAATGTACAAACATGTCTCTTAAGATTGTGGTTATCCACTTGTTTGAATTGTGCATTTACTCTGAAGGAAAACCATACACCTTGAGACTCCCTGCATCTCGTTTGCGATCGTAAGAGTCTTTATCATCACAGGCATATGCCAGAAGGTACTGACTGGGATGCCATGCGACAGTGAATGTGGCAGCTTCTACTGGAATGTCCACAACTTTTTCTCCAGTTTCCACCTCTCCAACATCAATCACTAAATCTTCTGATGCTGATGCTAAGAGACGTCCATCATGGCTGAAGCTAATAGTGCGAACAGGCCAATCCAATCTGCATAAAATTCAGTGAAACATTAAAAAATTTACCCAATTCCATTAATGATGGTTAAATAATTTACCTGAGTATAAATTGAATTTCTGAGCGCAAAACATACTTTATTTTTCGGTACATTCATCTTTCAATGCAAGATGGCTGCTCACCTGGAGAAAGTACGTAAACAAGCCAGCTCGTCAACATCCCACAAGGACACCAAAGCATCAGCTGAGCCTGTGGCAAAGTAGCGGCCAGTAGGATCAAATTCAATGCATATACAGGTTCCAGGGTGTGCTTTAAGAATATGCTGCAGTTCCAGATCAGGGTAGCTGAAAATATAAATCATGGGAGAATAAAAGTTCACCATGTAACATACTGAATCTCATTGTTATGCCTCCATGTTTCACTCCTGAAACTACAGAATGGATTTTGATGTCAAGTTGTTGGTGATCTGCACTAAAAGTTATCAGGCATACTTAATTTGATTCTGAAGTGCTGCGGAGCTAAGAAAGAGAAAGTAACAATGCTGGAGAAAACAACATAATGAGGAATTCCACAATTTGTACTATTCACCTAATACAGGCATACCTCGGAGATATTGCGGCTTCGGTTCCAGACCACCGCAATAAAGTGAGACACAAATTTTTTGGTTTCCCAGTGCATATAAAAGTTATGTTTACACTATACTGTAGTCTGTTAAGTGTGCAATAGCATTATGTCTATAAAAACAATGCGAAAATTACCAAAATGTGACACAGACACACGAAGTGAGCACATGCTGTTGGAAAAATGGCGCTGAAGGACTTGCTTGATGCAGGGTTGCCACAAACTTTCAATTTGTAAAAAACGCAATATCTGTGAAGCGCAATAGAACGAGGTATGCCTGTATTGTTAAGAGCGATTAAATCAAGGCAGATGAGACAAGTATGATGTGTAGCATACAATTTTGGTTGTAAAAGGGAATTGGAGCCCTAGACATCGATGGGAAGATAATAATAAAAGGGATACTTCAGAAATCTGGTGTGAAATTAGGAATGGATTGAATTAGGTTACAATAGAATCCAATGATGGACATTTATGGATAGTCATGAATCCTCAGGTTTCAGAAAGAAAGATTTGAACAGCTCAGTAATTAACATGTTTTTGTGACCCTGTACCATGGAATTGTTCAGTACTTCTGTCAGAACTCAAACCCTGGTTATTCAACTCATTGCATGATTGATGTACAATGGCTTACAAGTCAAGAACCACAGGAAATACTTCTTGAGTTATTAAATGAAACTTTGATAGGCTTGGATAAATAATCATAATTGAAAGAAGAAGTGAAATGTGAAACTGTACTAATCTTTTTTGAAACGCTTTATACAAACTCTTTCACTGGCACATAGGTTATTTGCATGGATAGGTGGCCATTTTGAAACACAATCCATTTTTCAATAAATCCATATGAAACGGTTGAAAAAATTAAACTTCACACTGAACAACTATTTACTTTTTAATTTTGAAGTATCTGTATTTCAGATACCATCCTAAGGATGTCAGTAGCATTCAGAGAATTACCCAACCATCTTGGTATGAAACAAAGCTATGGCTTCAGATGATTTCATGTTAAGGTCATGGAAGGAGTTGAAACTTTGAGATATATGCCATACCTTAAAATATGGATGCAACCTTGCCCATTAGTGAGGAAGAATAAGTTACTCTGTTTGTTCCATGAAATTTCATTCACTTCAAAGTTGAACTGTTCTTCAGCCTTGATTTTGTGTGTCCGAGTATCAATGAAGGTGACAAGATCTTCTTTATTTCCAACAGCTATTGTGTTGCCATCAGGAGACCATGTTATATTAATATTTTCTCCTGGGGAGAACAAAGAAAACACTACTGAAATGACTCCAGACATTATCATCCCAGGATTTCTGTGGTGATGTTGAACCTTCAGGTTTCTTAATAGCTGGGAATATCTTGAACAGCTGCTAATAAAAGGGATGTTCAAACATTTTGACATTTGAATTTTTAAATTCAAAGGGAAGTTCCCAGTGTCCACCTACCTATGCAAAGATTAAATTGTCCTTGTGCTTAAGCACCACACAAACTCCATGCAGCCGATTGCGTTGAATTTGGGAATTTGATAGTCACTCAGCTAGTAAATAAATTACCTACCTTTTGTGGAACCCAAAGGTTCATTACCATATTCACAAGAGTCTGCTAACATGAGCCAATGAATCCCATTCACTCCCTCCAAATCTATTCCATTTTAATATTATCATCCCATCTATGCCTGTTTTCCAAGTGTATCTTCTTTTCTGGCTTTTCAGTCAGTGTGTAGTAGTGTAAAGCTCTGACGTATCACACTTCCCACCAATAGCAGCCCTCTAGTCCACTTGATAGGAAAGATTCCCCTTGCACCGCCCCAGAAACGACTTCCCCCGGCAGGGCTTTTCTCCTGGTCTGTGGACAGTACCTTGTCTACAGCAATTCAACATTTTCACTTGAAGCTTTTACCTTTTGTAATAATATGTGCTGCACACTTCTGTGACCTTGCATCCCAAATTCTAACACTCTTGTCACCACTTGCTGTGCTCAGTAAATCTGAATTTGAAGCATGCCAACAAAGCTGATCAACACTGCCACCATGTCCACGGAAGGTAAATTCCTTATTCTGTAAAATAATCACATTTATGTTCACTTCATTAAGCTTACAGTACTACATATGGGGCAGAATAATTTACACACGTAGGATTTGAAGTTTTCACAGCGATGAGTCTGAAGATTGCTGTCTTCTGGGTTATTGTGCTGTGTACCTGGTAGATGTCCACCAATGTTACAGAGGTGGAAATCTACCAGACTACACGACACAATAACCCAGAAGACAGCAGTCTTTTAATTTACACAACTTTCACGATTGTGAGACTCATATCCATTCAAGTCTTGACCAATTTGGTCCACAACTTACAGCCAGAAGATGGTTATCTTCTGGGTTGTTGCACCATGTAGTCTGGTAGAAGTCTACTGACATTTCAGAGGTCACTGCTGCCTCCATCCTGTCTGCAAACTTCTACCAGACTGCATGGTGCAACAACCCAGAAGACAGCCATTTTCAGACTCACCGCTGTGAAAACCTCAAATCCAACTTTAATCCACTCATCAATGGCACCATGAAGTATAATAACATTTGAAGTTTCCATATTTAGACCAACTGGGCACTGAAAAAGTGCCACACTGAGGGAAGGGGGTCGTTTAGATCACCCCACACAATGCATTTTCATTGCATGCAATGAAATATAACACAAACCAATATTGCAAGGTTGGTAAACCAAACTCAGAACTGTTCCAAAATTTGACATGCACAGAGCAATATGGGTGAGTATTTTCAGTTCAACAGATTACATTCAATAGTTTGGATAAATAATGACAGAAGTATTAACATATCAATTTTCAAAAGCTGGAAAAAGTTGTTCTTAATCAAACTGGTATCTTTGTGTGGCAAACCGAAAATTATCCATAAATTACACAACAAACAGTCCTTATGCTTAATTAAGCATTGTACCATGAAGATACATGGAGCGTAGAGGTATAGCCAATTAATAGTTAATGAACAGTGTGCTCAAAAACACAAAAAGAGGTTAGGGTTGTTCATACCAATCTATCCCGATCCAAGGTAAAGATGGTGACAGATTTATCAAATGATCCCGACGCCAGTCTACGACCATCACAGCTCCACCCAACAGAATGAACTTTTGAAGAATGAGCTTGATATTCACGTGTCTTATTATGAGTCTTGAAATGACTCTGAAGTTCGTCAATCTGACTGTAAAATGATGCCATTTTCAAAATCGATGTCTGTTTACACACAGCCCTCTTCTTTACAAATAACAAGCCCTTTGTACAAAATTATATTAAAATAATTTCATCTATGTTCTCTGGACACGAAACAAGCGTAGTAAGAACATGACATTAACACACATTTTCTGAAATTCTAAAATAAATAATTTAGACTTTCGCGCTACTATATTTAAAAGATTACAGTAATTCGCCTTTGGCGCTGCTCTTGCGAGCGCAGATGTGTTCCCGAGGTATTTGGAAATGGCGGAAAATGATTGGAAAGGTTATGTGCTTGAGCTGTGTGTGTAAAATTTGCCTGATGAACTCACGTGTCTCATAAGGAGTATAAACTGAAGTCCTTCAAGGGAGTGTGAATTTTTCAATTCATTTATGAACATAATCGGGGCAGGTAAGAAAATTGTCTAAATAGCTTATTCACAACTAATTCAAATTCAATTTTGCAGCGTGTTCGTTACACTAATAGGACGAACAGTATGATGGTACATAATTGTTTTGTATAAGAATCCCTTTTATAATATTAATTTCAAAATCTAACTAATGGAAACATTCTCACCTAGGTGAAAGATATATGTGTTGCATGTTGGCATCTGCCTGTTGTTGTGTATGGGTGCGAAACATGGTCTCTCACCCTGAGGGAGAAACATAGTTTGCTGGTGTTTGAGGATAGGTTGTTGAGGAGGATATTTGGGTCTAGGAGAGAAGACGATGGGGTCTGGGGAAAAATACATAATGACGAACTTAAAAATTTATACTCTCCATCCAGTATTGTCAGGGTGATTAAGTCGAGAAGAATGAGATGGCTGGGGCATGTAGCTCGCATGGATGGGACAAGAGGTATGCACCAGGTATTGGTTGGGAAGCCTGAGGGGAAGAGACCGCTGACCTAGACGTAGATGGGAGGATAATGTCGGGCTGGTTCTATGGGAGACAGGAGTTGAAGGAGACTGGATTTTGTTGGCCCAGGATAGGTTCTGGTGGAGGGCTTTGGTTAATTCGGTGGTGAACCTTCGGGTTTGGTAAGCCATCTAGTTAGTTAGTTAGTTATGTTTAGTGGCATGTCTGAATGGTATAATATGTCCCAAGTATATAAATCCACACCCCTTTTTAAGTACTTGTATGAATTAATCAGTGTAAAATTTTCCCTGCAGAAGTTCTGTAATTAAACATGACAAGATAACAGAATAGAATAGAATTTGTTTACATTCCATAGATACTTCATAGGTCTAAGCTAAGGATGTAGAACATGTCATAGCACAAGTACAATGTAGGATTTGAGGTTTTCACGGTGATGACTCTGAAGAATGCTGTCTTTTGGGTTGCGCCATGTAGTGTGGTAGACACTACCAGACTACACGGCGCAACAACCCAGAAGACAACAATCTTCACAAGTACAATACTTATTTCTAATACAAATATAAATTACATAGTTATGACAGTAATTTACAATCAATTGCTGCAACAGTAATTACATGAAAAGCATGAATGATGTTGCTTACATGTATTTATAATAGCTGAGAAATTTTGGTTGATGTAAATTCTTCTAAGGAGTAGGAGAAGTGTTTCCTTAAACTTCTTTATATCTTGTTTCACACATTATATAGTGGGGGAAGATTGAATAGCTTAATTCCAGTATAGTAAACTCCTTTTTGATATTCACTGAGGTTACTTTTTGGAATATGAAGGTTATAACTGTATCTTGTACTTATATTGTGGTTATCTGAGTTAGTTTGAAATGTTTCTATGTTGTCCACTACACATGATGATAATGAGAGCAAGAATTAACTGGATGGTGGAAGAATGTTAAATGTCTTAAGCAATTCCATACATATGGCTCACCTTTTAGTGCCTGCCATTATTATACTGAATTTCTTTGGAATGTAAAATGCTATTTTGCTATCTGTTGAGTTTCCCCAGAAAATAATTCCATATGACATGATTAAATAGAAGTAAAAAAGTAGACTAATTTTAAAGTTTCTATTTGCATACCTTTTGTGGGTGATGCTAATATTATTACTTTACATCTGGAAATTAACTTTCCAAATTTGCTTGAATGATGTATTTGCTGGCTTGAATAAATGGATTAAAGCCAATAAACCAACATTAAATTTTGACAAAACAAATGTTATGGAATTTTGTGTTACCAACAAAAATTGTGTTAATCAAGGTATAGGATATGAGGATAAAATAATTGAAGAAGCAGAAACAACTACATTTCTTGACCTACAAATTGACAGTTAAATGTAGTTTTGAGAGTACTAATTCATGATTTACTTAGTCGGTACTTTAGAAAGATCACAAGATATTCCACTGATATGCATTTTATTATTAAGAGCACTTAAAATTTCATCTGTAAAATTGAAAAGGGCTTTATCAGTTGAGAGATTTCCTAAAGTGTATGCCTCCTTTAAGCCTTTCTCACTTTAACTTCTTCCTGTGTAGTCTCATTATATCTGCAGACATTTGCTTGTATTAAATATTGTTTTAATGGTTTTAAGTGTGAAAGTAATTCATGAGAGATTTTTAAAGTATGCCTTGTAAAATATAGTATTGCAGTTTCAATATTTTCTGTTTATGTGCTAAACATTCAATGTGGTTTTTCTTTTTGTGAGGAACTGTTATCACAAGTTATGAAATAACCTCTCATGTTGTAGTATCAGTATGAAGCAATAATAAACATGTGGTTAGCTAAATATGTTTGTTATAACCTAAATAATGCAGTTTTATGATAGAAGCGATGTAAATCTTGTAACACCTTTCCATGGGAAAGTGAGGGTTTGTTGGATTACAAGGTTGTAATAAATGCATGAACACACAAGTACTAGCAATGTTAGGATTTGGAATGGATAATTTTGACATTACATTTCATTACATTTCCTTATATTACATTACATTCAGCTACCTTCCTTTCATTGTATTTATTGCTTAAATATAATTTAAATACAGAGACATATTTACGTCAGATTCTCCGGAACCGTGGTTCCACTGTCAATTTTTGTTTTTAAAAAGCACATTGTTGGTGTAATGTTTTTTCGAGTTTCAAAGAATTGAACCTTCCAAAACGTGGAATGAAAATGTGTAAGATCCGTATCAACAAATCGACAACAATGGTTACCTATGGAACATCGTGTTTACTCGTCATTGTTGTTACCTACGAAAACGTGTAAGATCCATATTTTCGTCACACGTTTTCCTTTCACTTTTTTGCCGAATGACCCTTCTGTATAGACGTATTTACGTCAAAAAAAGTTTTAGTCTTTGTATCATGTGATAATGGTGTTGATTGCAGCTGGACACCAGAATGAGTGAGAATACCAGTTTCAATAGTACTGCAACTAAAAGACCACCAAGTGCAGAAAATCAGTTCCTTCTGAAGGAATCAGCACCAAGAAATGGGTCAACACCAAGAGGGACCAGAAAAAGTAAGACAAGAATATTAAAAGTATTGTTGTTACTACTTATTCCCTGACATGCCCTGTATGCCTGAAGAATTTTGGATTCACTGTTTTTAGTAAACATGTCTTGTTAAGAAAAGTATGCACATAACTTCTAGTCATACTATGTGAATAAACTTTCTGTGAACACGCATCTTGGTTCATGCTTTTTTTCCTTTGCATATATTTCCCCATTCCTACATTCGTTGCTGCTTTCTTTTCTTTCTTATGTAATGTTTTCATGCAGTGGAATTGCACATGTTTTGTATCAGAAACTTCATTAGCTGGCATTTTTCACAATTGACATGATTTTCTTATGGTGCTCTTGATTTTTCATGTTATTCTATTTATTTATCAGAGTAATCGCTATCTGTAGGTGATTGAACCTGCTTATATTGATTATTGTGATGATAATGATCAATGTTCTAAATTCTGGTAGTTATGAGTAACTAGTTATTTCCTTCAACATGAAGTCTAATTCTTCATGACCTTCATCAGTCTCTGCAGTGAAGTACCTAGATAGTGCACCTTATAGTAGAGTAGAGTAGAGTTTATTTACATTCCATAGATCCTTCTTAGGACTCAACCAAAGGATGTAGAACATGTCATTTCATACAATATACATACACTTCAGAACTTTCAACACAACTTTCGACACAAGTACAAGAACGTTTTTCACATATCAATGTACGTAAATTTCAGATTCTGCAATACAAGTATGAAAAATAATTTTACAAATTAATATACATAAACCTCAGAATTTTAAATATAAATACAAAACTTGCTTTACATATACGTAGATTATGGACCTAAGTGGGATGACGTGACAGGAGGCTGGAAAAAATTGCATAATGATGAACTCTTTAGTTTACACTGTATATTATTAGGTTTGTCAAATGAAGTTTGGTTGGGAAACTTGAAGAGAAGAGATTATTCAGAAGACCTAGACAAAGATGGAAGTATAATATTAAGATGGATCTTAGGAAAATAGAGTGGGAGGTTGTGTATTGGATTCATCTGTCTTGAAATAGGACTACGTAATAGTGTGGTCTTGTGAACATGGTATTGAACCTTTGCTCTCTGTAAAATACAGGTAATTTCTTGACCTGGGAGCGACTGTTAGTTTATCAAGGATTATGCTTCATTAAGTTAGGTATTTAGCTAGTTAGGCAAGGACCCAATACTGTTATTTCAAATTTACAAAATAATCTGGGTGTTTACATGTTTCCTGAATGAAGTGTGTGAAGTTAATACACATAAAGTTGGGTGTGTGCATTGAGAAGGAAGTTTCTGTCTGAGTTCTGGGATATCCTTATCTTAGTAACTAGTTACATAAGATTATCAGGCTTGCTGTTTGTAGAGATACTTTAGCATTTTTAATCTTGGTTGTTTTTCCTCGATTGTGTTGTTACTAATTGCTGAATTTAGATGTGACCTTATGTGTGCATCTATCCTTCACTGACCCATGTCTGTGAGCAGATAGGTTTACATTGATTTTGTTCCACTGAGTACTGGGACTGTGCTGCATCTTATGAGTACAGGATAGAGATTAGATACTGGAAATTGTCACATGCTGTACCCTTTCAGTAGTTACCATACATATACAGACTAGCCAGCTTTGTGTATTGCTCTGGACTTGTATTCATATACAAGCTGTACTGAATGACTTTTCCATTTTACTCAGTCTTTCCAGGTAGATTCTGTGATAGTAACTGTGTCCACTGCCTTTGAAATCCTTACCTACTCTCCATTCATGAGTGTATTTCCACCTCATTTACTGTATGTTAGTAGTTGAAACAGCATCATTACAGAGCCTAAGCATCAGTAATATCATTCACACTTATATTTCGTTGATATCTGACTCAAATTCTGGCTGGGTTGTACTTATTCTGAAATTTATGGTTCTGAAGTAAGTCCAAGCAGTTTCTGAAACCTTCAAATAGGTTGTGGCTGCCATTTTAGAATCCTTACCTATGTAGCATTCTTGATCATGTCTTTATTTTATTCATTATAATATCTGCAGCTGAAATAGTGTAATTAGTCTAAGATTCAGTCAGTTGTAGAAGCCTTCAGGAGCCAAGTTGTATGCCTTGTGATATCTGATAAAATAATTGATACTTAACGTGTATAATTTATGCTGAAAGATTAACCAGTTGTTTATGTTATTGTGACATAGGTTGGTAATTATGACCTTGTTTGTCAACCCTTGACTTATTCACGTTAAATTAAATCAGATACAGAGGTCTACATTGACAGACAACTCTATACTACAACAACAGTGTCTGAGTCTCTGTTCTCTGCTCTCAATGCGTGCACACACACACTCGCACTGTCCTTCGAGCCTATCTGGTCCCCCGAGCTCAGCGCTCTTCACTTACCCAAACGCGTCGGCCCGTAGCACCCCACTGGACACACGTTGGCCCCTCAGCTGCCACGGTCCACGAACCCGGTGCTCTCACACGCAGCCGACGTGTCCTTACTCAGCGCCACACCAGACCTCTCGTTGGCTCCACTCACTCGACTCTACAACACACTTCTCTTACGTGCGATTCACAGCTCAGCTCTTTCTGCTCTGACCTGAAAGCTGATTGTCAACGGCAGTAAACAAACACAACAATGCCAATAAACAGATAACTAAACTGTTTCTTAGGTAACACAACAATGCACATAGGAGTTCATATAGCATCTAAAGATGCAGACCAGGCAGCCTGGAAGTCAAGTGGCCCCTACCCTCCAGCGCGAGTCCGCTGCACTCACGGCGACATGTCACAATATAAACATCTTTAACACCTGTAATTTCTATTTGAAACTTTTTTATATGGCACATAATTAGCACAGGAAAAAATAATTTGTGACTGTGTAGTGTGACATCTTTTAGTGTTAATTGGCTTTGTTACAGTAGATTTTTATCTGCAGTAAATATAAATCAAAGCCAATGATATATATAATATATATATATAATAACAAATAACACATTTGAAATTTATGTTCATTCTGTTGAAGTATATTTTATACTCTTATTTAATATACGTTTTATATTTTGGCAGAGTGAATTTGTTTTTATTGCTAGATATTAGAAATGTTGTATCATTTATGTGCTTTTTCCTTCAGATGCAGACTACTATGAGAAACAGCCATTATTTGAAAGGGCAACGGCAGAACCTGTGAGATTGACTCCAGCATGGGAGGAAACAAATCTTTCGAATGATGAGCTCAATTTTAAGGGCGTAACTATGGAGCAGGCAGTTCTGGAGATGAATCCACCCACAGATAGGTACAAACTGTACAAAAGTACAGATGGCTCTGGCTCTGGTTCTGGTTGGATACAGTACAGAGTTTTCTGCCTGTATTCCCAATCTCTCACATCTGACAAAGTAAAAATGCTATGGGAATGCCAGGCCTCCACATGAAGAAATAAGTCCCTCATTCTCTTTATTCTATCATTGGGAGTAAGTAGAATTCCACTCTGTTGCTACTCCCATCTCAGAAATTGATTTCAAAATTGTAGGATTTGAGGTTCTCACAGCAGTCAATATGAAGATGGCTGCCTTCTGGCAGCCTCCATGATCAGTCTTAATGATAGAGGCAGCAAGAACTTCTGAAATGTTTATAAACTTATATGACATTACAACCGAGAAGACAGTCATCTTGTTTCAACATCTTGCCATGTGAGCACAGATCAGGAAGACTATATAACTGGATGCTTTATATATTTAAAAAAAGGTTAGGGGCAGAAAAATACACCATCTGTGGCTCATATGTTTGTATCATATACACTATTAGTGAAGCAACTGACAGAGAAACACTGATTCCTATTTTAATTAAAGTGGTGGGAAGTTCACTAACTCCTTATAGTGTATAGGTTCAGTTCCTTTATTTACGTTAGTGCAGCTGAACAATATCACTTATCAGTATATGTAATGAATGTTTGCTACATTGAAAATATGTCAGCCCTGTCTGCATCCTGTCGTATACGTTATGACATTTTCTTTTTCAATTGTTATTAATTTTCTGAAACTGAGTTGTCATACAAAGAATTAGTGCATAACGTTAAGTACAGATCTCATTAAGGTATATAATGTTTACTGTAACTATTTTTGATTTTTAAATATTTTATGATCCTGTGCTGTGTGATTAGTTTTGCAACAGTAAATTTTTTTTCGTAATAAACAGACATTAGGGACAGTGATGTATGTAAATTGTAAAGAAAGCATTTAGAAGAATTCTCTCTTTTGTGATGTATGTTTGTTTAAATTAGATTAATTTTAAACTGAATACAATTGATTACAACAGATGGTTACATATATTTGTACTATGTATTTACCTTCTATTACAGTTATTTATTTATGGTTGTTGAATCTTTGGTGACTGATTGTATCTCAAATTATTGCCTTCAGATTATTTTGTTCACATTTTTTGTTAAAAAGGAAGTATATAGTACACTTCATATATTTAAACTGTCTTCCTTCTGTGGATATGGTTGGCATTTTAACTGTTCTACAATGAACAGTTGATTGATTGTTGGGGTTGTTTATTATTTGATGATAAGATGATACTTTTCCTATAATTGGTACATTACCAAAGAATTTGAAGAAAGATGTGCTGAGGTTTGCAGTGTTGAAATTCTCTTTGCAGGTTATATCTGGTCTATTTAACATTATTGTTACATGGGATTGGGACTTTGATGCCTTGGAACATGTTTATCACTGCAAAAGCTGTAAGTCTTGTATATACTTTTTTACTTACTTTCACTAATTTATGAGATTGCACCATGTCTACACTTGTGTATTTTGTTGTCTGTGTGTCTGACTGCCTTAGTAACATTTTAACCAACTGTTTTGAGATTTGTATGATCATCATGCTAGAAGAAGCACTCTACTTTTGTACTAATAATTTTTTGCTGCAATAAAAATGTGGTGGCTTTGCAAACTTGTGAGGTAGGATGGTTATTAGTATCTGTTAATGTAGGGCCCTGATTTGGTAAGGGAGTACATCTTATGAAATATATACAATTTTTATTAAGGTTTTTTATTTAGAATATAAAATGATAATGTAGTTGCATGAACTTTGCATAGTTTTCAGTATAATGGTGATCAGTAGGGTTCGGATGTTCATGACCTAAAGAACCGAGAAATATACATGCAAATATGCCCCCAAAAAATAGTGAAATATGACCCAAAAAAGGCAAAATATGACCTAATTTGTTATGAAAAAATATTCACTAACATTTAAAAAAAGCATTTTGTATTTCAGTCATGTTATTTATTTACATATGCATGTACAAATATTACATTACCTGATTTCCTGCTAATTTTAATCAAAAACCTCAGTCACTCTAAGTTGTAAATGCCTCGTTTTGGATCAGCATCAGATGTTGAGTATACGTGGTCCTATAAAAATAAGATAAATTTTAAGAAAGAGCCTTTCATGCATTTCAAATTCATTAATTACAAATAAATAAATAAACAAAATTCAAAATATTAAGTACCTTTCTTCATTCTCCTTTCTTGGCAGCATTTATATAACGATTTGAATTTCAAGGTCTCAAATGAAAATATTCTTAGATTGTCACACAATATGGTCTTGTAACTTGATGCTATTTTGTCTCATGAACCAGACTTGATGTTTCAATGTAAGAAACGAAGTCTTTGCTACAAACTGAGTTTTGAAGGCAAAATAATATATATTTATATGTGCTGGGTGGAATGCTGCTTTGCTATTCAGTTTTGGCAATTGGCTGAAAATTGGCCAATGCACAGCCAACTGACGTGCAGTGATATGGTTAAAATTGTTTGTTACCTACACAAGTGGACACACCAGTTTATTTAATCCTTGATTGTTGATGTTGATCACATAGAACTTCACAGAAAACATATTGTTTGTAATTTTCTTTCTTCGGTACTTTGGACATCACAAGTTAACAGTTGGAAGTGGTAGAATAAAAACAGATGTCTTATCAAATTTCATACAGAACCTGTTGTTTATATGTCTTGTTTTTTTCCTCAGTACTTTGAAGATTTCAAGTTAACAGATAGAACTACTGGAATAAAAACAGAGTATGCTGGAAATTTTCTGGCTTACATTGGCTTTGCTTCTCAAATTCCCAACCTTGTGATAAACTGGATAAATATCTTTGTACCAATAGGTTCTGGGTGAGTTACAGTTTATTATTTAGAGTGTAAGATATGTTTATAATGGAACCTGGATTAAGCAAAACTCATTCTGTATAGGAACATTGATTTGTTTTTGTTGTTTATTTAACTATTCTCTTTTAACTGCTTATTTTCTAAGATTAGATGGTAAGATATGTGAATGGTAAATTAGTAAGAATATCTTTAGTCATTTCTGTATTTTGTGAAGAACAATTCCATCCCTTATTTTCTTTCAGGGACAGCTTAACAACTCGGATAGTAGGGAGCATATTGGTGGAAGTTGTAATGTTCATTCTTACAGTAATACTAGCCATGAGTGACTCATCACAGTGGCCTGGAGCGTTCTTCACGATCACAATCATTACTATTGTCTTACTGAATAGTAAGTAATTTAAATGGCAGTGTCTGGTCCAGATTTTGGTCGCATTTCTTCTGCTAATAAATGGATCAGTGGATGGGAAATGTTCAGACATCTCTTGTCTTGCCACATTTCCCGTCTTCCTATCCTTGCAAGCATTCACAGTCTAGGCTGTTGTTTGGTTCTTCTACTGGATCTGTTAATGAGCTAATTTTCAAATCCATAAGCTGTTATAAAGTCTACTATAACCTAATAAAACTTTATGAGATATGAGGTTCACATGGTGGTGAAGATGTCAATGTCAGTCTTCTGGTTTTTAATGCGGTGTGGACTTGGAGGCAGATACTAGTGAACAGAGAAACATACTGCGTTTATCTTCAGGGCTGACTTCAGCCCTCTGAAATATTTGTGTCTACCTACTAGTCCACATGGTGTTAACCTAGAAAACCATTATCTGCCCTAATAAAACGTTTGTTTGTTGTTTATGGTTGTCTTTTACTTTAGTATATGATTCTTGTTGTCTTTAAACTCAAAATTTTATGAACTGTTCTGTTGATGAATATTATTAATGAAGAATTTATTTATATTTTAGCGGCAAATGGTATTTACCAAAACACTGTATTTGGGTTGGCAGCAAAATTGCCTTTTAAGTATACTGGAGCTGTTATTCTTGGCGCTGTAAGTATAAATGACACTACAAAAGAGTTAAATAATTTGAAGAGTTCTACCAGTAAGGTGATCAAATCAAGGAGGAGAGATGAATAAGATCTGTAGCCCCCGTAGTATATATGAGAAGTAAAAACAGAATTTTTTATTCAGCAATATATGAATGAGAGAGACCACTCATGAGATTGGGTAGTATAAATGGAATGATGATAAAATGGATCTTATAGAGTATAAAGTAAGATTTTGGTACCATAGGAGGTAGGGAATTTCTTGAGCAATTATCAGCTGTGCTGTCGAAGCACAAGAAAAACATAATAGAAGCTTATTCCTATTTTTATTTTTTTCAGTGGTCTTTTAAAATATTATACACATAGTATATTGTCATGAACTAGATTTATTCTCTTCAATCAGAAACAGAAATGTTCCTACTCAGATAAATTACTGAAGGTGTATATTACAACACAATAACAGGACTGCAAACATTAAATATTCAAGCAGATTATTTTCGGTTAAGCCCTTGTTTACCTGTTCAGTTTGCATGTTGAAGAGTTTTTCAGAGATGATTTTATATTAGTATAACTACATTCTTGGGTCCAGAGGAATTTTCCAATAAGGCATGTATCTGTTTAATTTGGGTTCTGTTGTAGGCAAGTTTTCCTGTTCTGAACTAGAAAATATGTAATTTTCAGTCTTATTTTTCATTATATGTATAGGATTTGATGCATGACTATATATTTATAAGGCAGTGAAAGTAAATTTAATATAATCTAAAATGTTATTTGTCTGTGATTTCAGAATATCAGTGGTACATTTACTGCAGTTATAAATGTGATGTCCAAAATTATGTCTCCAAATGAAAGAACTGCTGCCATCTATTACTTCATCACAGCACTGTTCATTCTTTTAGCATGTTTTGATACTTACCTTGCTCTACCCTTGAATGTAAGTATCAAGTTAGTTTGCTGTCAGTAGAATCTGTCATACATAGTCATTTCAAAAGGTCTTGGTAATTTGGATTCTTACAGTATTTTAGAGATCATCCTGAGTGTGTGTTTTCTGTGAGTTCAGGTTGTAAATATATTAAATAGAACGTGAGAATTTGTCCTATATTTTTTTGGAATTTCAGTGAATCTTTGGGTATTAAGCATGTAACATACAAAACTATATTTTTCCCATTGTTTTGTATGTGTATGAAACTTTGTGTTTTACTTTAAAGGAGGATAATAGATTGTGGATATGAGATCTGAGTTTCTTAGTATGGTGAAGATGGCTTTTATAATCTTTTGGGTTGCAAGAACCTACAAGACTGCAAAGTATCACCATCCAGAAGACCATGATAAGCCTAGATTGTGGATGTTTGTGAACATGTGGAAAATACAGTACTTTGACCTAAGGGAAGAAGTATCAGAAGGTTGTAAAAACTTCATAATAATGAGTTTCAAGATTTGTTCTTTTCAAATAGTATTGGGGTGATTAAGTTAAAGAGTGTTTTGCTCACAGTGGCCTTGGGTTGTAAGGTGTGTGTTTTGACTTCTTGAATGTTGAAATTCCAGGTTCAGACATTACTGATTGTTACAGGCCATAAAGTGTAATCTGAAAAAATGTTAGGAATTTTAGAAGAGACATGTAGCACACATGGAAGTGAGAGAATTGTACTAAGTAATGCTTGGAAAACTGAAAGGAATGAGATCATGTGGGAGACCTAGATATGTATGCAGGGATAATATTGAATCTTGTAGAAATAGGGGAAGAGACTGAATTGGATTTATGTGGCTCAGGATAGGGTTCATTGGTTTGTTTTTTAAACATGTTGATGAGCTTCTTGGTTCCATTAAAGCAGGCAACATTTCTGACCACCTCAGTAAGTATTAAGTTTTCAAGGAAAACTTGCACCATGGAGTTAATATTTGGTGAACTGTAAGAAAACTTACTAAATTCTTGAAATTTGTTCCAGAGATTTTACAGATATCATGAATTGCTGTATGAAAAGGAACAGCAGATGAAGGGGAAACAGAGTTTGAATGCAGTTCCTTATACACCATATTGCACCATCCTCAAGCAATGCCTCCCACAGTGCTTTAATGTGTTTTTTGTGTTTTTTGTAACACTTACCATATTTCCTGCAGTTCATTCAGGTGGGTTGGAGTGTAGTTTACATTCGTGGTCAGGGGAAATTTATTTGTAGTCTTATATAATTTTAGCCGAATAAATCAAGATGTTTGATGACTTTCACACGGAGAAAACATTTATTCATGGATGTTGTACACAGAAAAATGGTTCTTGCAATTATTAATTTGTAATTTCTACTGCTGCATTTGTGTGTGAAATATATAAGAAGTCTGCTTTACATGTACATGGTTGGCAGTAGACGCATAATGCATATCACATGCTCGCAGCTTATGCATAGTACATGATACATGTGCTGAGGATGGTAATTTATGTCGCATTCAGAGTGTCCACCCTGCATCTACTGACATGCTACCGCACCTCCTGGAATACTGGCTTACACATGTATGGTGTTGGTGGACTAGTGGTTAGTGTGCTTGCCACTGGACCCAAGGTTTGCGGGTTCAAACCCGGCCGAGGTCGATGGATTTTTAGGGGTGATTAAAATCTGTAGCACAACTTCCTTCAGGGAGGAAGTAAAGCCAGCGGTCCCATGTCATAGATTTACGGCATGTAAAAGAACCTTACAAGCATGAATGAGATGTTTTGTAAGCAAAATTCAGCGCCCATTTCTCACCCAAATCTCTTCCAATTTAATACTAGATGGCTGTAGCAGACAGATCAGCTGCACAGTGCTGACAGCATGGGTACATGTTCACCCAGTTTTATGGTACTTTCTGGCCTGAACTGAGTGTTGATGACTTCCAAGGGATTTGATTCCTCCACAGTTTTGTCTTGTTTTTCGGTGTTCTACACATCCCAGTCATTTATGTCCACCACTTTTTCCCCCACACTCTTTATGTACATATTTAAAGGAAAGTAGTCATTACATACACTTCACAGTGTTTCTAGTTTCAGTTTATTGTTCTTTCAAAATATATCCTTAGTGGTTGGATGAACTGTAAATCCTCAACCCATTAATGTAATCACCTAATCATTCTATTTGTTACAGAAATTAAAATATCAGACAAAGACAGTTTCTTTGTTGGAGAACGCTTTTATAGTGATGTGACTTGTTTCCTAACATTCAATGTCTGTGCAGTGATTGGGAGTACCGTGGCTACGTGGGTGACATGGGTGAGTTGACTCTTACAGTGCTAAAGTGTAGAGGTGTACAGGGTGGGTTGTAGGTCATACACAGTTGGGCTACAGAGTTAAGACCACACATAAACATAACTGGCAGAACATGGATCATAGTGTTTAATTGTTAAGTACTTATTAAGAGTAACCAGAAACAGTGTTGGTGGTTTATTTATTTTTTTCTTTATATTACTTGAAGAATATTGATTCACTTGAAATAAAACATTCATATGAATTTGCTGAACCTTATAAATATGTATCTTAATAATTAGAGTATAAGATTTGACTTACATTAATAACAATGACATGGAAATAGAATAAGACTGTTGTTGTGTTATTTCCAAAGATATTAAAGGAAGTATAGCATCTTCCTCACTACTGCAGATTGTTTAATGCTGCAAGAATAATCAGTTCCTATTGGTTATAATTTTGATTTAAAAATGAAAATGTAAAAGCAGTTTGTCATTGTTCCAAAGTTACAACTTTTGTAGGTCACAGCATTCTTAGCTAATGTTGTTTCTATGGGTACTAAATACACATTATTATTAACATATAACCTAACTAGCCTTACAGTACTTGTTGAAGTATTTGAAAGAAAGTGTTTTAAGTTCTTTGAAGAACTTATTTTTTGTTATTGAGAATTCTATTTTGCATGGCTTGTCAGCTTACTGCTAATTCGCTGATAGAAATTAACATGAAGTTCATTTTTCTTACAGCCAAGTCCAAAATATCTAGTGTTTCCTGTTGTATTGCGAGTACTTTTCATCCCATTTTTCCTGTTTTGCAACTACCGACCTCAAGGTGAGAGGTACATTTCTGTCCTTATCAACAATGATTGGGGATACTGGACAGGTGCAATACTAATGGCCATCACAAGTGGTTACTTCAGTTCTGTTGCCATGATGTATTGTCCCAGGTAAGGACAGCTCCAGTTCACAGTACCATCCATAATAATGCATGTTATAATATGAGGGCAGTCAGAAAGTAAGTTTACAAGGCCTATTGAATCTTCTACTATGCATAATACATTGTCCCTATACTCTTTGTAGACTATTTTTGCTATTTAGTTCCTGTGAAAACTGAGACTGCAGTCATAATATGGAATTATTTTTCCATCACTTGCATATGTAAGTCTGTGTTCTATTCTTTCAACGACCACATTGCTGCTACTTCTGTATGATGACGAGGTTTAATTCTGTGGCTTCCCAGATGAAGCAACATTAGGAGTGCCAAACTATTAACCTTTATCAGATTCACTAAATTCTTCGACAGTGTCCATCATCTGCATTAATAAAAAGAACACTGTCTCAGTTTCACAGACTATTTAGAAAATAGTTTATAAGTCATGCAGTGATATATTTTCTGTATTAACAGATTTATTGTATTAAGTAGGATTTGAAGTTTTTATGTTGGTGAGTGTGATGGCTGTCTTCTGAGTTGTAGTGTCATGTGGTTTGGGGTACAAGTATACCAACGTTTCAGAGGCCCTTGCTGCCTCCATGATCAGGGTGATGAGCCTCATCATGTGCTACAACCCAGAAGACAGCCATCTTTGGATTTATTATTTACTTTTACACTGCAGGCTAACTTCTCTGGCTAATCAATGTATATTGATAAATCCATGCAATATGGTGATTGTTTAGTTTATTTTATGTATTATGTAGTAAAGTACAACTTCATTACCTCATATTTATGTGTTTATGCTTTTTGTGATTATTCATATTTAACTTTATTGAAAATTGATGTGTACAGTATTTAATGAGTATGTATTATAGAAAATAACATAGTTCAGTAAATGTCTGAAGAGCTTACATAGAAATGTAAGATATCTTTCATTACCAGTTAACTCCATCAGGATTTATCCAGTTTCTTCTGAAGAAAATATTTCTTCTTTTATGTGTATCAAGTAGACAGTGATTTTTTCTGGCAGACCATTTTTGTAAGTCTTCTCATAAATTTCATACCTGAGTATTTGATTACAAAATTTGTGAAAACATCTGTATGAATTACACAATGAAATAAAGTACAGTGTTCGGATCGGTTACTTTCTGAATAAGTGTCTTTTGTTACAGGTCTGTGGAGCCAAAATATGCATCCACAGCTGGAATGCTTGGTGGAGCATCACTTATTACAGGAATATTTGGTGGAATTTTGTTTACATTGGTAATGCCATGGTTAGCTAACACACACATGTGGGACTTTTCTTAGGAACTGGTCTTACACCACACCACAACATGTAAATAAGATCCTAGAAACAGCAGTTTTGGAGTAGTCTGAATGAGAGGTGTGTAATGGGAGTATTTTGATATACATACCCTTATCACCAAATATTGCTATGTGGTGGTTTGTGGCTATACTTTGTAATTGGGAGGTTCCGGGTTTGAATCTCAGCTTAATGAATGGCTATTTGAACTGACATTGTGGTTTTTCCCAGTCAGTCTATGAGAGAGTACTTCAATATAGAATACAGTTGTTTCCATTTCTTTTTTCAATTGATCAGTTGTTTCTGCATTAAAATTGCAAGTGTTTGGGAATCGTAACAAGTCAAAATTACATTCATAATGAAATCAAGAGCAGATTCAATGTGGGCAACATTTTTTACTATTCATTTCAGAATGTTTTATCTTTTGTCTTCAATTTAAAGGTCTAAAAATGAAAATATACATACAGCTATAATTTTACCAGTTTGTTTTTCGTGGGTGTAGAACTTGGTTTGTCTAGGCCAGGGATGGGGAACCTTTTCATGTTGGAAGGCCGCATTAATTTAGCTGTAATCAAATAAGGCCGCATTCAAGAAATTTCAATTAGATATACTTAAAAATGTACATTATTTTGTAAAAATCTAAATAGTATGTACTTAATAATTTCAAAAAATGAAAAGTGTTTGTTAATTTTAAAGTTAACTAATCTTTTAATGACTTTGTTGTGTCTGCTTTTTGTTGGAAAGCATTTGAATGTTTGGTTGCAGCATGGAGGTCCGCAGTTTCAGTTGAAGCTTGAGGGTATTTAAGAACAAATTGCTGAGGAGAATATTTGGAACTAGGAAGGAGAAAGTGTCATCAAGTATTATTATGGTGATAAAATCAAGGAATATGAGATAGGTGGAGCATGTAATATGAATATAAAGATGAAAAATACATTCAAGATTTTAGTTGAAAAGCTGATCGGTATAGACCACATGGGAGACCTTAGGAGGGAGGATAATATTAAAGTGATCTATAAGATAGAGGGTGGGAGGGTATGAACTGGATTCATCTGGCTCAGAATATGGTCCAGTATTTGGTGTTTGTGCACGTGATAATCTTTAGGTTGCATAAAAGTCAGTTTCTGGATTCGGTGTGCTGTTACCAAAAGATAAAAATCTCTTCTTTGTGGAGTTAATAGAATCTCAGACCCAAATGATTTAACTCTCCTGTGCCCCTGTTCAAGGAGACTATCTTCCTAGATCTTACTGTAATATTTTACAAGAGGGAATTGTTATTTGACTTTATGTGATGCTTTCATTTCAGGAACTGGGGCCAATTGGGGAAAAGAACATTTGCCCATATATTGCGTGTTGTATTTATGCATTGAGAATTTAGTGAACTCTCCAATAGATGTTACTAGAGAACAGGGAGATAATAGTATCAAGATATCCGTCTTCTGGGTTGTTGCGCTGTGTAGTCTGGTCGATGTTAACCAACGTTTCAGAGGTCGCGATCTCCCTGATGATGGAGGCAGTATGACCTCTGAAATGTTGGTTAACATCGACCATACTACACTGCGCAATAACCCAGAAGACAGAAATCTTCATACTCATCGCCTTGATGATGGAGGCAGTATGACCTCTGAAATGTTGGTTAATGTCAATCAGACTACAACAACCCAGAAGACAGATATCTTCATCCTGTTTGTTTTTAACTTTTTAGTTCTCATGTGTGTTTTTGTTTAATCATAGGTTGTTGATGAACACATTAGCAGAAATTAAATTTTTAATTCTCCTTGTTACTGCATTGTATCGTCATTATGCAAATATTTTCTTTTAACATTGTTTATTGGTAGATGAAAAGAATGTAAGACGTTTCAGAGGGTGGCTCTTTCTCCATCCTCAGGTAGCTAGTCTTTTTCACTAGACCTCTTGTTAAAGAACCAGCTAATGTTACAACTTTCACAAGAATAGGAATTCAGGATGATATGGCAGCAGTAAAATGGTGAGTGATATGAAATGTTTTAACTGTAATAACAAGTGTTGATTTATGATAAGGGCCAACTTTATCTAATGGCACCTTCAGAATAGGCACCATTTCCTCTTACCTGATGATAGAGCCAGCCTAGGTATAGTGATAACAGACTAGCTTTATCTACTTATTGGATTCCACAGAGTAGGTACTCCATTCTTGTAGTTAAGATGGAGACGATGTCAGCCTCTGAAAAGTTGGTACAAGTCATTTGATGAAGTCCAAGGAATATACGGTCATGTTGAACTCTCCTTGCACACCTCTCATGAACTCTCCAAGGGATTGGGAATACAGTACATGAATTGCATACTGTTATGCAGGTGCTTTGCCTCTGTAATTAACTACATTTAGAACATTTTTTATTTAGATAACTGCCTTTCATTAAGGTTAACAGATTTTTGAAGTTATTTATTATTGTGTTTCTTAACATGATTGTTTTCTTTTAAGCAGTTAATGGTATGTTGCGTGACTAGGGTTACCACCTTACAAGGATTAAGGTTAGGATGGTAGGACAACTGAAATGTGACCATTGATTTGAAATGTACAATGTTTATAACAGCTGTCACTGTTTCAGAATATTGCCTTGTTTGCCACAGCTGACTATTGAAGCCTGATGCCAAATGATTGTTACTCTTTTGGTAATTTATTGAGCAACAGGTAACATACAGATATTCTGATTCTTGTTAAGGTGCATGTTTTAGTTATTTATATATTTACACTTTACAGATTTTATTTAATGTACACAACTTTTGAATTAGGAGTATGTCTTGTATTTGTATATGTTATTTTTATTGATGTATGGAGAAGTCAAACATCTTATTGTTTTTCTGCATAAAAAGTATAAAATTAACTTATAATTACGAGTTAATGTCTGTCCATCTGCATGCTTTTGGCTTTGAAACAACTCAATGGATTTCAGTTAAATTTGATATTGGGGGAGTTTACACAGACAAATTTAATTGTTTTTCTTATCATTCCATGTTCACATTAAGTTGGAATAAGATTTTATAATTATGAGAAAAGTTGCACATTGCTTTAAGTATAGATTCGTTAAGAATATTTGCAGCATTTTTATATGGTTCACATTCAGTGAAGTGAGAAAAACTAATTTATGATTGTACAGTGTGGCATCTTTAGTTAATGCAGTACATTCAGTGAAGTGAGAAAAAATAATTTATGACTACAGTGTGGCATCTTTAGTTAATGCAGATTTGTGTAGAATGCATTTGGAAAATGTGTGTACTCTCCTTAAATTTTTGTCTAATCTAAGTCCTTATGAGGACAGCAGACAGAATCATTTGCACCAAGCAAATTGTAGCCAATCCAGAATGGGTGGGAACCATACATACAACATACCTACAATATGTGGCCATTGCAAGATGAAGCAAATGCCATATAGTACGGTGTTAGACTCCGTATCCAGCAACCTAAAATTTGGCAGGTCCTAAAATCCATATGTTTTCCTGGTGATTTTTTATGGTAAAATATTCCTTTGCTTGTCATGTTCAAAACTGGCACTTCGCAGTTCTTTGACTCACCACCATGTGCAAATGGTGCCACTGTCTATGGTCTTGATGCTAGTAGAATGCAGCTTGCTTGTTTGTGCTTGTTTAGTCAGTGGATGGGTTAGAGGGCTTATTATTTTTTTATTTCTTCAACAACAGAGGTGATACAACCCCAGATTTTTCATGAAAACAAATTGTGAGTTGTAGGTGAAGCATATCTTAGCATATAATTTTTAGTATTTATTTTGTATGTATTAAAATCCCTCTGCATAAAGACCCAAAATTCAGAAAATCCTTAATCTGAAACACCTTAGGTCACATGCTTTCTGGGTAAGGGGTCTGGTACTGCATTTGTAACTTATATCATGTGAGAAATGAATCAACCAGAGCAACTGCCCACAGATCTAGTACTGATGGTCATAGTCATGATACTTGTGCCTGACATTACAAGACACCTTTTTGGCCACATTCTAAAGTTCCCAGTACCTCTTCTGTGGCACACACTGTGGAAATAAAGCATATATTATTAGCTACATTTTAAAGTACTACTTTGAAACTTTTTTCAACAGATAGTGCTCAGTTTGTAAAAGAAACATTTCAGCGTGTAGTTGTGAGAATGTGCTTGTTTTGTGAGGCCTTTGATGCATAAAATGCTATTTTTATATGAGTCCTATCTTTTTTGTCATGTTAAAATTTTATCAGATTTTGAATATAATTTTTTGTTTGTAATAATCTGCAAAACAACCGGTGTTAGAGTATAAGCTATGTAGGAAACCTTGGACATAAAGGGTTTAAATAACATTACAATTGTGTAAAAGTATCTAATGTTTGTGAGTTCTTTTCCTGCTAAACTTTTTATATTTCATTTTCAACTATATCTGAATTACTTATTCTTCCTGAAGAACCTGGTGCAGTATATAAGGAATACTTTGTATTTTATTTGGTTTGTAATGCATATTTTTATAGTAAGAAAGCAAAATGGGTAACTATGGTACTGATGCACTGTCCTGAAGTGACCATTTATTACTGATGTGTTGTTCACTCCCCTCACTTGACTACTGCCTTTTTTAGAGGTGACATCCATTACAATCTTGATTAAAAAATTCAGGTACTGTGTTAGTAACAATAATTTTCACTGTAATTATGTTTGACATTGTCCATTCATTGTCTTAGGTGTATTTTATATATGTAATGTTGTTATAGTTGGCAGTAATCTTATCTTCAGGTAATTCTTCTTCTATGGCTCTCTGGTCCGTATTCGGTCCATGGCCTCCTCAATTCTCCTCTGTCTGAGGCTTTGATTGAGGTTTCGAAACATCTTCCTTTTTACCGTGCAAGGTTGTTAGCCTTGCGACCAACCCCCAACCTGGAGGACCAGTCTGATCTCTCCCCCTCAACAAATCTGGCTAGGGAGGCCCTACCAGTAGCTATGCTACCGCCAGCATAGCTCTTGGGGTCACTGAGGTACTCAAGCCCCACCACCACGACAAGGTGCAGGTACCATTAAGTAATTGGTTGTCATTATACTGACAGAATTTTTTTGATGTAAATACGTCTATAAGGAAGGGTCATTCGGCAAAAAAGTGTAACGAAAAAGGGAAACGAAAAAGTGTAACAAATGTACCTAGGGAATGTCGTGTTTACTCGGAATTGTTGTTACCTAGGAAACGTCATCTGTTTACTCAGCATTGTTGTTACCTAGGAAACGTTACATTACATTAAAATACATTACTTTACATTACATTCATCTACCACAGACCCATCTTAAGCATAACTAATTCACGTTAAATAAGCAATGTCTTAATCAAACTTTATGCAATTGTAAAGCACGTATAAAGGAAATATTTAGAATAAAGCCAATATATAAACTTCCTTTCCGTATGGACGTATTTATGTCAAATTCTCTGGAACCGTGGTTCCACTGTAACTTTCTATTTCTACTTATTTTTTATATTAATGACAGCAGTTGGGGTTATAAAGTTTTTATTATTCTAACCACTAAGTGACTATTGGTGGCTTTCTTTATTAGTGCAAGCAGTCAGGATTGAGTGTGGAACCTTCTGAATGTTAACACGTTTGTTGTATTTCATGG